GGGGTAAATGAGGATTTATTCTGGATGATAACTAGGGATGCTCTGGAGCATAAATGGAAATTTTCTTCTGGAGAATAACTGGAGACTRTTGAGAATAAATAGAAATTATCTAGAGGATAAATTCAGGTGGTTCTTTTTCCTGGAGCATTTCTAGAGGATAAATGGAGATGCTCTGGATGTTCCTGAGCTGATCCATCCCGACATCTCCAAACAGGCTGGAAACTTGTTACAGTTCCTGACCTGCATAATTTGATGGATCTGCATCATGTTGGAATTTTCCAGGGGATTAGCACAATTGAATAACTCCAACTGTTTTTTTATGTCCTGCTGATGCTCTATCTTGTTGTTTCACTGCTGTAAATTTATTTTTTTATCACAATCCATCTTTAAGACTCTTCTTTCCACCATCAATATTCCAAGGATTCTCATTTTGATCCCTGCTGGAGCCCTTTGTTGTAGGTGCACTTGCAGCTACTGTGAGTTTCAGGAATCCTTCCTGGGAAAATAAATTGAGGAAAAGCTTCCTCTTTCCTCCTCTGAAGAGAAACTTAAGATYTCATTGGAAGGACTTGGGAGAAAAATCAAGCAACCAAGGCTTGTGTATCCTTGGCAAAAAGCAGGGTGGTGTTATGTGGATAACAGGATTTTCTTTTGGGARTATTTAGTCCTTCCTAAAAAGCTCWCCCTTTACCRTGTTAATTACCTCATGTTAAAAATTATATGGAAATAGGTAAATATAAATGTKTTCTCAGAGATTCAGAGTGACTTTATTTTTCAAAGGAATTGTAGTAATTCCAGTTGTATCAATCCCATACCCTCTTATTCCAATTCCTTTCAGGAATTCTATAATTAAATTGAAATATGGCTTGAGTTTTGCATCAGTTCTGCTGCAATTAAAGTGGTTTTGCAATCAATCTGTTAGATTAATTACGCTTTCTGCAGATCTTGCACACGTGTGCACATTTTAAAAGTATTTATTCCCATGTTGCCAGAAAAAAGCTGGAAAGAAGTTACAAACAAATCCATAAAATAAGGGGGCAGTGTTGTTTTCATTTAAATCCTTGGAGTGAGTGTTTTGGAGACTTTGGGATTCGGCAGCACTTTGTAAAACTAAAGATCARCTTCCAAATGGGAACAGAAAACACCAAATCTTGGGTTTTTTTCCAAAGGAAAAGTGGGAATTAATGGATTTGCAGAAAGATGCTTCAGTTTTGCTCAGAAGCAGCTGAGCTCAGAGATGATCTTGGAATTTATCTCTCCCATCAGGCTCAGTGTCAGATCCTGGTGTTAGGGGAGCTCCCGTGGGAGCATGGATCGGAATCTTATCACAGATGGGAATCTTGAAAAGGAGCAGCAGGAAATTAGCACGTGCTTCTCTCATTGATTTCTTTAAGCCCTGCACACAAACCAGGGATATCCTGTTGGAAAACATGGAGGCAGCAGGTGGACTGGAAGCTCCTGTGGATTTTGGAGCTGAAATCTGGATCTGCACTCCTTCCAGAATAGTTGGCAGGTATTGGGTTGGGCGCATTGCAGAGATCCCTGCTGGCTGTGGGAATTACACAGTAGGAATCCAGGYGTGAACAATCCTTTTCCAATAGATTTTAGGCCTCTTTTAGACCTCTTTTRCCCATATTCCCTCAATTTCCTGCTCCTGGAGATGTTTCCATCCTGRAGATGTTTTAGTTGAGGTGGTTGAAAGGTTGGACTTGCTGATCCTGTAGATCTTTTCCARTCTCAGTGGTTCTCAAATTCCACATGTCAGCCCATGCAGGGTGAACAAGGAATTAGGGCACAGAATTCCTCTGGGCTTTTCCTGCMATACTGGAATGGAAAGATAGGAAAAGTCATTGCAAAATTTATCTGTTTCTTCTGGCAGGATGGAGAAGAAGAAAATCCTGATGAAATCCAAGGTTGCTGCTCCCAACCTCCTGAGGGCTCTGCATTCCTTGTACCAGCTTGGRCACCTCTGCGACGTGACGGTCCTCACCCAGCACCTGGGAATTCAGGAGGAATTCCTGGCTCACAAAGTTGTCCTGGCAGCTTCCAGCAACTACTTCAAGGGGCTTTTCCTGCACCAGGAGATGCTGGACACCAAGAAGTGCACAGTGACCCTGCAGGACATCTACACGGAGGAGTTCACCTCCTTCCTGGAGTTTGTGTACACRGCGGAGGTGGAGATCGAGGCGGGAAAACTCCAGCGGATGAAGGAAATAGCAGAAAGGCTGGAATGCAAGGATTTGCTTGACATCTGTGAAGAAGTGAAGGCAGARGGCAGGAAGGGCCTGGATTTGAGCCTCCACCTGAAAGGGCAGAGGGGTGAAAATGGAGGATCACAATGGCCYGGGATCCAGCAAGAGGACAACTCCAGGAAATCTTCCCAGGTTGTCGCAATTCCCGTGCAGAGGAAACTCTGGGATAGGCAAAAGCATAAGGAGCTCCTGGCGGACTATGAGCTCATTGGAGGCCAAGCAGAAGGCCTGGAGCAGGAGGCCACGGCTTTTCCAGCCCCAAAATCCAGGCCACCAAAGCTGCCGAAGTGCAACAAGACACATTCCCCTAGYAGACCGAGTGTGGATGTCATCGACCTGGRAAACAAGGATGGCCATTCCCTGWGCAGGGGGCAGGAGCRGAAGCAGGAATCCCAGGCGTGTCCCTACTGTGACAAGGCCATCAGCTCCAAGTGTGGCCTGGCTGTCCACATCCGCACGCACACCAGGGACAGGCCCTACAAGTGCCAGCACTGCCCCGCCAGCTTTGCCCACAGGGCTGCCTACACTTCCCACCTCAGGTACRGCATTCCTGGGAATGTGCTTCCTTGGAATTCCAGGGGAAATCATTCCTGAAGGCCTTCCTGCCTTAGTTGCAGGATGCCATGGATCTGACTCAAAGCATGGTGAAAATGGGACTTTTCTCGTGGCCTCGTAGTGTGGATGACTGGACTGAGATTTCTGGGATGGGGAGTTAAGGAAATTTCCCATTGGATTAAGGGGGACTTGTGCAATCAGATCTCTGGGGAATCCTCAGATTTGGGGTTTTAAATAGGAATTTTGTGTCTCTATCTGGGCGTTTAATCTCTCTTTCCTTTGGTTTAAATTCAGAATTTCATGGCCTTGGAGGAAAGTCCATCCTACATTCCTGCTCAGGTGACAAATACAGATCCTAATGAACTGAGGCATTTGAATTGTYTTTATCTTGCCCAACTCTTCCCAAAATCTCCCTATTTTTTGGGTTTTCCAAACATTCTGTGAATTTCTTAAATGGTGCAAGGAACAATTCAAAGGAAATTACTCTTCCCCCAAGACCTSAATTGAAACAACTAAACAATTAATTTTAATGAGTTTCAATTAAACTTACTGAAGTTCTGCTCCATTTTTAACAGGAAAATCCATGAGTGTGGGCAAGAGAGGAAACTCCTGCCTGTCTATTGGATGGTGGTTCCACCCACACATGGAGCAAACCCCACAAGCTGTGACAAAGGTCCCAGTGGAGAGACCTGGGATGGGACACCAGAAACCTCGAGGTGTGAGGAAGATCCTGGGAATTCATCTGTTGCTGCAGCAGGCAGGAGCAAGGAGCAAGAGGAACAGAGGCGGGAATCCCAGGAAGCTGAAGGAGGGAACGAAGATGAAGGTGGAATGAGTGTGAAGGGCGAGGAGCAAGAAGATGTGGGATACTCAGAAGCTGAAGGAAGGAGGGACAACAAGGAATGTTCTGAGGAGGAAGAGGAGGATGAAACCTCAACCAAGAAGGACGGCGAAGAACCCAAACCAGGGTTTAAACTAAAGAAGGCCAATAAAAGCATAACCAACAAGAAATCCAGCTACATGATCCGGTGTGACAAGTGCCAGGACCAGTTTGTTTCCCGGAAAAAATATGTGGATCACTGCCGGGACGCACACCAGAGCCCACCTGGCAAGGCATACCAGTGCGAGGTGTGCGGCAAGGGCTTCGCCAGCTACACCAGCTGGAAGGAGCACCGCGCCTGTGTCCACACCGAGGAGAGGCGGTTCTCCTGCAGTCTCTGCCAGGCCACCTTCAAGAGGAAGCGGGAYGTGAGGACTCACTCCGTGCGGAAGCACGAGGGCCGGGCCAAGCGGCCACTGTGCTCCGTGTGCGGGAAGATSCTGAGCTCCTGCACGGCGCTGGTGTTCCACATGCGGACGCACACTGGCGAGAAGCCCTATGAGTGTGCTGTCTGTCACTCCAGGTTTGCTCAACCATCCCAGCTCAAGATCCATACCAGGTCAGATTCCAGCCATTCCCATTCCTTTCCCCCTCCCAGCTGAGGCGTGCTCCTTAGAACAGGAGCACCAGGATATCGTGTTCAGTGGGATCTGTGATTAATTCCCTACGCAAAGGCTTTGTCTCCGTGTGGTCAGGATTTCGACATGGATACCCTGTACAAACTTGCAAGGAGTATCCGTCATTTGGGACAGGCTCTATAATCCCRAGATGGCCCTTAGTGATGAAGAGTGAGTAAGGGACCTTGGAGATGCGGATCCTGAGCCATGCTCGCTCTTGGAGCAAGGAATTGCCGTGGGATTTCATCTCCATGCGTAACTCCGAGTCYGCGCCGCTCGGCTGGAGCTTGATGGGATGAGTTGCTCCCTGGTGGTGTCTGTGTGGATGTGTCCTCTCCCAGGAGAGGCTGAATCATCCCATGGAATTTCCCATCTTTCTCCAGAGCAAGATTGATGACAACCCTTTCTCCTAACAGCTGGAAATCAGGAATGATYTAGACATTATCTTGTTGGGGTTGGAATAAGTTAATTCTAAACTTTAGGCTCAGATTTTTCTGATTCTCTCTTTCTGTTATTTCCCCTGCTTTCTCCCTTCCCATGCTCTTAGCTATAACTCCTGAAAGAAAAGGTGGATTTTGTAAGGCTTGAAAGTGAGGAAAAGGTAAATTGTTAATGGGAATTTTACTGCTGGAGTCTAGATCCTGTACCTGGAAACTGTTTTGTGAGGGAGCAGATTTTACTTTTCCCACTACATGTAAAACCCAAACAGAGTATCTAATCCTTTAGGGATCAGGAGCTAATTAACTAATAATCATTGGTGTTTTGTCTCCATCAGATCCCACACTGGGGAGAAGCCCTACATTTGTGAGGAGTGCGGGGCTTCCTTTGCTGACAAGGGAAAACTCACCGGTCACAAAAGGACACACACAGGTGGGAATTAAACATTCTACATGGTTTTCCCGTCGTTTTCCTGGTTTACTGAGAGGAATTGCTGGTTGGGATGTGAAAAAAATGCCCTTGGTAACTCACAGAAATGTATCTGTGTAACAGGAAGGAGTTAGTAGGGATAGAAGGACTTTTAGCCAGGAGAAATGGAGACTCCAAGGGGATGTTGCTCTCCATCATTCCCTGACAGGAGCCCRGGGGAATTTGGGCTCTRCTCCCAAGGAACAAGTGATAGGATGAGAGGAACAGCTACAAGCTATGCCAGGAGAGGTTCATGTTGGACATCAGTAAGAATTCCTYCCTGGAAAGGGTTGTCAGGCATTGGAATGGTATGGAGTCTCCATCCCTTGAGGTCTCCAAGGAACACCTGGAGGTGGCACTGGTTGCCAAAGGTGGGGACCGAGCACAGTGACCTTGGAGGTCTTTTCCAGCCTKGGTCCTGTGATTTGCAGACCAGTTCTGAAGGACAAAATTCCTGTAGGAGAATTCCAGTGCCTTCTTTCTGTGTCCTCAGGAGAGCGCCTCTTCTGCTGCGACGTGTGTGGGAAGCACTTCGCCACCAACGAGTACCTGAAGTGCCACAAGCGCTGCCACCTGGGAGCCAAACCCTACAAGTGCAAGGTTTGTGGGAAAACCTTTGGACTCAGAGCCTCCCTGGCCCAGCACAGCAATGTCCATGCAGGTAATTCCAAGGCTGGGAAAAGAAATGGTGGCTTTGTGGCACTTACCAGTGTGGGTGGGGACATTTCATCCCATGGCTCGCTGAATTTGGGGATCCCAGAATCACTGAGGTTGGAAAAGATTTCCAAGGTCATCGAGTCCAAGCTGTTCCCAATCCCATCTTGTCACCAGCCCAGAGCACTGAGTGCCATRTCCTGGCATTCCTTGGACACCTCCAGGGATGACGATTCCATTGGGAAATAGGGCTCATCTGGGTTCTGGCCCACTAAACAGAGCTCAGGAATGTTGTGTGGTATCCATGGTGCTTTCCCAAAAAACTGAGGTCTTGGCCTGTGCCATGGAAGGAATTTGGAGTAGAAGATGGCTGTAGCCTTGGCAAATCCTAGGAAATATTTATGATGGAATGGTTTGGGTTGRWAGGGACTTTAGGGATCATCTCATTCCACCCCTTRCCATGGACATCTTCCAMTATCCCAGGTTGCTCCAAGCCCMCTCCAACCTCAAACACTTCCASTRTGGGGCCAAAGAGSCCCCTGCTATCTYCTRCCATCTCCTAACTCWATSKYTTTTTGGGACCATTATTGCAGAGACCCGTCCGTATTTCTGTGAGCAGTGCGGGAAGACCTTCACKCAGCAGGGAGCGCTGCGGCGGCACCAGCGCATCCACACCGGAGAGAAACCGTACCGGTGCCGCGCCTGCGAGAGGAGCTTCACCGACATGTCCACCCTGCGCCGGCACGTGGCGGTACGGCATCCCCTGGGATCTTCCTGGCCCTTAATGCCACCTCCAGGGTGCCAGTGTCACCCTGGAAGCAGGGATTTCCAGCCCTCGAGAGGGCCTGTGTGCGGGATGATTTTTAGGGCAGGGCCGTGAGCAGCCATCTCAAAGTCTGTTCCTGAAATTTGTGGAATTTTCCTGCAGCGGCACAGCAGCTCCCACTGCTGGCTGCCAATCCAGTTGTCTCCCAATCCTAGGGAAAGAAAAGGTCACCATCCCTGGAAGTGACTGGCACTTCCTGATGGTCATCAAAGGCTAGACTCAGTGTCCGAGATCTTCTGATAAATGATTCCATGAAAATGTTTGAGGAAGGACTCAAGATTTTGGATATTTTTAATGGATTAACTGCAGAGTCTCCAATCCTTCAGCCCTCATGCCGGCCCCATAGCACAATGGTTTATCTGACCTCATGCTGCACATTCATAGGAATTCACACATTTCCAGCTTTCCAATAAACGCTGAACTCAGCTCTTTCCAGGGACCTCCAGGTCCTGGAAGTGACAGCAAAGACAGAACAGGAGGTTCCCTTCCAATTCCAAGTTAATATTTTGCCTGTGTGCTGCAATTCCAGCTGATTTTGGAAGCATTCCACAGCAGCAGAGCCAGAAAATCTGCTCAGAGCTGGCAAAAGAGTTTTGTTTGTGTTTGAGTTGAGCCTTGGAGCACAGGATCATGGAGTTATCCCAAAATTGTTGGGTTTAGTTCTGGATAAAGTTAAATGTTTGATAGTTAAAAATCAGATCTAATTATTTTCCTGACCCACTCCCATTTTTTTTCCCAGATTCATGACCGGAATGCACACTGGAGAAGCTTCTTGATCGACCTCACACCAAAAAAAGACCACAACTGGTCCAAAATAGAGACTTTTGCAGAAGCCCATCCGGAAGGAGATTCCATGCTGAAAATTTGGTCAGTTGACCACGGGAAACTTTATAAACCAGAAAGTGTTAAACCGGCAGCACATGTGGCACCTGGTGTTGGCAACACCGGGAGCACTGACCCYTCCCTTTTGTATTTATAAACTCGGTTTTAGCCCCCAAAATGGGCGGCTTGAGGCAGAATGCTGGGAGTTATCCTTTGGAATGCAGGGAATCATTCCCAGTGATCCCTGCAGCTGCCTCGAGAGCTGGGTTACAGGTGGTAAAGGAGTAATTCCTCATCAGGGTATTTATTCCAGTGAAATGTTTAGATCTGTCCAGAAGTTTATTTTTYCCAAAGCCGTGGGAGCATCCCATTGGGAATGGGCAGGGCAGTGTGTGTACATGTGCGTGTGTGTTTATACAAACAGCGCGGTGCCGCCGCTGTAAATCACCGGTTCCTCCTTTAATAAAGCTGTCAGTGCCGCCCAACCCGTCTTTCCTTCATTCGCTCGGCTTTCCCTGGGGAAAAGGCCGGGATTTGGGAATGCCAAGGCTGGGGGCGGGGGAGGCCGCGTTGCCAAGCAACGGTCGGCGCGCATCGTGTCGTCACTTCCTGTGCGCCGCCGCCTGTGCCGGGGCGGGCCGGGGTCGTGGCGCGTCAGCGCTTCCGGCCGCGCCCGGGGCTGAGCGGGAGCAGCGGCCGGGAACGGACCGGGAACGGGCTGGGAACGGGCTGGGAACGGGCTGGGAACGGACCGGGAACGGGCTGGGAACGGTGAGTGCGGGAGCCGTGGCGTGGTGGTGCCACCCGCCTTCTTTTTCTCTCCTCTTTCCCCTTTATTCCTCCCCTCTCCTCCTGTTCTCCCATTCTTTTCCCCTCCTTTCCCCSCCTTTCTTTTCCCCTCGCCTTTTTTCTCTCCCCCCTTTCTCCTTCCCATTGTTTTCCCCTTTCCTCCCCTTATTTGCCCTCACCTCAACATTCCTGTGTGATGCAGGGTCCTTTCAAACGGGCATTGGAAGTGGGCAATGGGGAGGTTCTCCATGACTTGAGCAGCAGCCACTTGGGAATCTTCTCCCCATTCCCATTTGGGTTGGAGCTTTTTGCCTCTTTCCAGCCAGTTTTGCATGTGGAAGGGAATGTATTCCTAGGAATAGACTGTGCCTAAATGGGATATAAGGATAGTTGTGAAATAACATGGAAAGTAGTTAAAAATCTTTTTATTGGGGTAGAAAAGTAGCATTTTGGTATCATCGATTCTTTATAAGGCATTGAGTGAGACATCACTTAATTCCCAGGAAATTGAAAGAAATTCCTCAGATTTCAGTAGGAACAATGTTAAACTCAACAGAGCATCTTCAAATCCATGGAAATACAGTTGGTTCTGGGGTCAAACATTTGGGGAAACACCCCAAGTCCTCASTTCTTTTACAAAGCTTAGAGCAGCTTCAGCCATTTCTGGGCAATAAATACAGCCCRACCTGAACAATGCTGGAATGGAATGCTGGAAATGGGCCTTAAAAATGTGCAGGCTCTAAGTCCATTTTGAGGAATTTCCATAATTATRGGGATTTTCAGTGTGTGAATATCATTATCCATCATGTAAGAACTTGGAATTTTCTGGGGAAAACGTGTTTGGGCAGAGATTTTTAGGATTGCAATTAACTTTTGCTTAATCTTGCCTTCMTTTTGTTGCCTGATAAGGCCAGGAATCATTCCTCAATTCCACATGCCTTAACTAGAAGCATTCCAYAATTCCAAGTGCTTTATCTTGGATCCAGCTCTGCTTGCTCCATCCCTATCCCAGCTTCCGACAGCCCAAAGAAATCAGGGTTGGGATTTAAGCTCAGATTCACTCCATGGTTTTGTTGATGGGTTGGACTCRATGATCTTTCCAACCTCAGCAATTCCATGAGCTGTGGCTTTTGGCCAGTGCGAATAATCGGAATTCCGCTGATTAACACGGGGTCTCATTGGCAGGGAGAAGAAAGATGGAAAGCAATCCCGTTCTGCTGGAATCCAAGTCCTCTCCCATCAACCTGCTGAACGAGATGCAACAGCTGCGGCTGCTGGGCCACCTGTGCGACGTCACGGTGAGCGTGGAGTACCAGGGCGTCCGCGCGGAATTCCCGGCGCACAAGGCTGTGCTGGCGGCCACCAGCAAGTTCTTCAAGGAGGTTTTCCTCAATGAGAAGTCCGCAGACGGCCCCCGGAGCAACGTGTTCCTCAACGAGGTGCAGGTGGCRGATTTCGCCTCCTTCCTGGAGTTCGTGTACACGGCGCGCGTGGAGGTGGAGGAGGACAGGGTGCAGCGCATGCTGGAGATCGCCGAGAAGCTCAAGTGCCTGGATCTCTCCGAGACCTGCTTCCAGCTGAAGAAGCAGATGCTGGAATCCGTGCTCTTGGAGCTGCAGAACTTCTCGGAATCKCAGAATTCCGAGGAGGAAGGTGCCACCCACCCAAGCGTTGCAGCAGCGGTGGAGGCTGAGCGGGACCCTCTGGATTCCCCCATGTCCAAGCCCAGTCCCGGAGYGTCTCCTGAGGGGCCAGCTGCCAAGCCCAAGGAGAAGCTGGACAAAAAGAAGGAAACGCCRAAGGCTCCTTATGCCAAGATCCGCAGAGCGAGCGGGCGGCTGGCGGGCAGGAAGGTGTTTGTGGAGATCCCGAAGAAAAAATACACCCGGAGGCTGCGGGAGCAGCAGCAGAACGCAGAGGAGGAAAAGCAGGACGAGGAAGGGGAGCGGGAGCCGGAGGAGAGCTCYGGCAAAGCCGAGAGCTCCTCTCCGGAAAACCTCCCAAAAGCCGAGGAGGACAAGAAGAAGCGCGGCGGCGCCTTCAAGTGCGGCACGTGCGAGAAGGAGTTCCTGTACGAGAAGAGCTTCCTGAAGCACGTCCGGCAGAGCCACGGCATCGCCTCGGAGCCGGAGTTCCGCTGCGAGACGTGCGCGCAGACCTTCGCCAACCGCTGCAACCTGCGCAGCCACCAGCGGCACGTGCACAGCAGCGAGCGCCGCTTCCCCTGCGAGCTCTGCGCCAAGCGCTTCAAGCGCGGCAAGGACGTGCGGCGCCACGTGCTGCAGGTGCACGAGGGCGGCGGCGAGCGCCACCAGTGCCCGCAGTGCGGCAAGGGGCTCAGCTCCCGCACCGCCCTGCGCCTGCACGAGAGGACGCACACCGGRCACAAGCCCTACGGCTGCCCCGAGTGCCAGGCCAAGTTCTCACAGCCCTCGGCGCTCAAAACCCACATGAGGTAGGAGCGGCTTTCCCGGG